TTTGATAAGTGATGAGTCCCTGAATTATGGCTCGCATTCTCTCTCTTCCTTTAATGTAATACAAGAATCAGTTTATGAATAAAACTAATATCAATCACGTTATTAAATACGATGATGAATATCAGTCCAAGCAATTTGATACGTCGTCCCATTTTCTTTAATATTTTAGATAAATTCATATTTTGAATAAAAAAATAGTTGAGTTTATTTGTGTCTTATATTTTATAGACAACACATCATTAAAATAAATTTCGTTCAAAGGATTGATTTGTATTTCTCGTGTCTTTCGAATCGGAAAGAGTTTACACAAAGAATAAGTCAAAACTAAAAATATATATAAAAGTTGTTTGAATTACTCGTACAAAAGGGGGAAACAAGAGGAATATAGTGTAACTGTATATAAGTTATATATAAAAAAAATATATATATAAAATATATATATATATAAAAAATATATATATAAAAAATTGAAACTATTTTTTGGAGCACACATCGAAGGAAAATATATATCGAAAAACTAATATATAAACGAAATATTGAGAATTTTGTTGTGCTTTTTATTTGATGTCACTTAAGTCAGGAGTAGTGCCTAAGCTTGGGAGTCGGAGCTCATATATCTCTCTCACAGATGAACACTTCTCGAACACCCTTTCCTCTTATTTTGGAAATTTATTATATTTTTCATATAAAAACATACATAAGCGCCTAAATAATAACAAAAACAACACCGAAATCAGGTGCACATCATTACAAACACAGCAATTATTTGGTGCAAAAAAAGCACTCATAAAATGTTATGCATTTTTTGTATGAAATGCTTTTGTGTCTAAATGTATGCAAATGTGTTGTGCAGACAAGTGTAGAGACGAAACTGTTTCCAATAAATTGAGATTATTTTTAGTATTTATTTGGATGAATATAAAGAAGACATTACTTCTGGGGAATCACTAAATGGTTGTAAACCAGAGAAATAAAAATACACCAGAAGATGAAGAAGTGGTTAGCCTTTAGATTATATGAAATAAGTTATGAAATAAGCATTTTTAGCCTTAAATTACTGACAACACAAGTCTTGCGTTGCATTTCAGTGCACTTTTACAGCGATTCTGTTACACATTCTTATGGATTATTAAATAATGTATGAATGCATTGAATGCATGTATGGATGCGCGCAAAGAAATTATATTTTTCTCCCCAAACACTTAAATACATCATCAAAAGTAGTGTTTGTTTTATTTGTTATTTTGAGTTTAAATCTAATATTGTTAGCCATACTATGCAACAAAAGTACACTTTGGGAGATGAATATGACTACAAAGTCATTAGAGTTTGTGAACGCATATCACACAATATGTAACGGAATATTCATATGTGTGTATAAATAATATTCCTTCACTTCCACTGCAGTCATCGTGTCATACATTGTCTCAAAAGTTTCAGTTTGTATTGAAAAAGTGTTGGAAATGATAAGAATATATGTTTCGGAAATGACATTTAAAAATTGTCAAAAGAGAGGTTTGTTTTTCGCGAAAATTCTTTTACCATTCATTCAAATGATTGTGATTTACTATGGCTTCACTAGTAATGACTGAACAGTACTTTGGATTTTATGCTCCGGTATTACATGTTTACGTGTATCCCATCACCAATAATAACGATTCATGTATTTGTTATTCTTATACCACGAATGTATCAGAATTCAGATGAATATCACATCTATTGCTCACAAATTTATTTTTATATTTTCCTATTCTTCGCATCAAATTCTTATTTTCTAAAGAATTTCAATACAACTTGCAATACGGGAATACGGGTCTCTCTCTCTCTCTCTCTCTCTCTCTCTCTCTCATTCACTCACACTGTGTTAGCCCTTAAGAAGTAGTATTATTTATTTTTTATATTGAAAAATGCGTTTAATATATAAATTTTGTATCCCTTCCTTCTGTTGCACTTAAACTAGGTTTAGTTCATAGAGTTTTGTATATATTTATTATATTTGCGTATATTTCTGGCGCAGTGTTTGTCTATTGTTGTGTGCATTTGGTTTTGAACCACATTTTACACTCAATTCTTATATGAAAAGGAGACCCAAAAAAGGAGTCGATTTTGGAAACACACAATAGATGTGTTGAAATTTAAAATTATGTTTTAAACCACTGAATATAGCCGTAACAGTGCATACATAGAGTGCACCAAAATTTATGCCCAAATAGTGAACATAAAATTCTTACTCTATTCTCGGGTTAAGATAATAGATAAATAGAAATTTATGAATGAATTGGTTATCGTATAATATAATCGACACAAACATAAATAAATTGTTTCACAGAAAACACATATTTTTGTTAAAGACATATAGAAGGCGATCATAAATCATTAAAAAGACACTTAAAACTAACGATAAAATTTTGTTTCTTAAACTCAAAAACACTTAATAGTGTCACAAAGAAAAATGTTATGAAAGGACCAAAAGGAGAGAGAGAGAGAGAGAGAGAGAGAGAGAGACTGAATGACAAAAGGAGTGTTAAGTTAATCGCTTGAATAAAGAGAGAAAAAAAGGAGAATTTTCTGATCCGATAACCAGAAAAATATGAAGTGATTATGAGTTAAGATATTTATGACGAAAGTCTAACCAAACACTAATAGTAATTGTGATAACCGTGTGTTTCGTTGTGTTCAACACTTTTATCACCGCAATAACCATCAAAACAAATGAATGCCATTCCCATAGCCATAGCACCGACAGCCACACTGTATGGTATGGGCAGTGGTGTCGGTGCGATGTGTCGGGTGGTGACAGACAACATGGCCTCAGCGCCAGTCGACTAACTCTATTAGACTTGGAGTGAGAGTATAGCGAAGACACAGGCATTGAAGGGATGTATCAGCGATTCAGTGATCGTAAGGCATAACACATAACACATTGGAAATGGTGTGGAATATCGGCTCTATTGGCGAAACACTAAGACTACTGCTTCTGCTCTGCACTCAAAACCATTCAATGAATGCTATTTCGCGACCAAAATATCATTTTAAATAAAATTTTGTCGCTCTCTGGTCTGGACAATGGGTCCAGCAATGTATCAAGGCACATTTGGCACATTCACGACAGGCACGAGTCGCTCACCTTTTTTGATGGCTTGGGATGAGGTTAGAAGAGCAGCAAAGATGAGAAATACTTTGTAACCCATTATAGCATTGCCTTCTGAGCGCTGTTTTCAAGTCAAGTGTTGTTATTGTCGATGAGATTAGGAGTGAGTCGTCGGCGGTTCGGCTCCGGTAGTAGCGGCCGACCGATCAGTTCAGTGTCAAACAGTCTGTTCACAAGTATTTGTGACAATATTTTCGGCGATAAACCAATAACTGTGAGAATGGCTATAAAACACAGACCACTCTCGCCGTACAAACAGTATATATATGACTATATATACTATGTTTTGAATGTTATTCCTGTGAATCGCACGCCTCTAATGTCTCTTTCACTGAGAGATAGCGAGGTCTCAGCGATAGTACAATATATGAGACAACAGTTCAACCAAAGGAACCGTAGGATCGAGTGCTTGCTATAGCGAACTCACTGTCAGTGTTCACTATATCAACACAATATACAGAACTGTATGTACTGTTGGGTACAGACTCTGAACGCGAGAGACAGAGAGGGAGAGAGAGAGCAAAGAGAGAGAGAGAGAAACTTCGCCGTCGAGTATAGAGTTAGGGAACGGTGTCGTGAATTCTCTCCAGCCCTGGGATGTACAGCACAACAGCTTAAGCTCTGGGCAGTGAGACGGGAGGGACGGGCTTAGAGATCTGCCTGCGCTCACAGAATATCTGCCAACGCCTGTGACGTCAAACGGCAACCGACAGAATGAGATATATATGAGATATACAGCTATTGATCGAGTGGTTCACGAATTGTACACTTCTTCCATACATACATACATTCTCTCAGCAGACCTAACTGTTCTCATAGCACTGGTAGGTCTATGGGAATACACACACAAGTGATCAACACATGCACTTCTTGTTCACATACTCCACACTACTACAGGCGTTACCTGTTTACCAGTCTATCTATTAAATTAAAGTATTTCTAGACAATACATGGTAGGTATGCCGTGCGAGCACTGGGAGCACAGGTATCCTACAAGAAAAGGTCATATAATTTAAGAAAATGATGAATTATATGGATATTAGGAGAATATATCGTGAGTTACGCTATATTTAGTTATTTAATGTTTAGAGTTATCGCTATTTAATGTGAAACAGTTATTCACTGTTAGAATAAAATACAATTTTTATGATCCCTTTTTCATTCAATAATATTCCGTAATAATAGAGTCCAACGAATAGGAAATACAAAACAGTTTACAGTTTATAGATATGGATCAGAAAAGTATATATAAAAACATAATAATAATAAACATTAAAAATTATGGTAATCTTTATAATAAATTCTGAGCGAAACTGATATACAGAATACAAGTGAAATATTCGTTTAGTATTAAAAGCCAGAATATTTTTGTTGATATTAAATCATGAGATATTTTGCATATTTATTTTTATATGATACAGTATTAAAAATTATTATAATAAGGCAAATACCTATTTTATACTGCAATAAAATTTAATCATAGAGTTTGTGTTTCAATTGAATAGGAATTATAAATAACTTTAACTTCATATCACAAGTCATGTACTTTTTGGTATCATTATAGACTCTATAATATAGAGCTTTGCAGTAATCGTCTTTATATAAGAATCTGAGGGTAAATAAAATAGTTTTCCCGATAAACATATTATAAAAATGAATTCATGCGATTACATAAGTCGCCCAAATTCTGAGAATTATAGCCATAAATAGTCAATAAATATATAAAGAATTATAAAAATTCTTTCAATTTGTCATTTGAAAGAGGAATAAATACATAAATAAAGATTCACTAATATATCGCTAAAATTATATAAGGAATGTGTGTCTAAAATGTCTAAACACTTGTATATCATGTACTCATAAGCAGCGGCTCATTCTCTTCGCATTCATTAATTGTCTGATTTTCTTCATCTATATTCACGTCATTATCATCTGGTCTTCGGATGTGAGCATTGGTTTCCCTACGAATGCGCTCCTCATCAGATAAATAGCCGGTGCTCTCTCTTATACCATAAGAAAAATAAACAATAAATCCTAAAATGCAAAAAAGAAAGAACAAAAACAAAATCAAATATTTATTTTTTATTAAATTCATAATTTGATTTGCGGGTAGTTTTTAATTACAATTGAAATAAAAGTTATGAAAAAATTGAGAGAAATGTTTGTTAAGACAGCTCTTCGTATTGATTATATGATTGTTATACAAGAGTACAAAAATCAGATGAAAGAACAACATTAGGTTGAAAAATGCAAATAAAATTCAATGTAAAACATGATTTAAAATATAGATAAACAATAATAATATCAATAAAGTAATTGGTAAACAATTGTATAGTACAGTATATTAAGTTAGAAATGTTTGAATGTTACCGTATTAATACAATAATAATATCTATGTACTGTATAATATGTATATATTTTATTAAGTTTTATATAAAAACAATCGTTTCGTAAGTAATCAAATCAATCGATTAAAATCAAACCTTTAAAAACAATCTCTTAAACAATACAATAGTAATAATAATAATAATAATCAGATCATCAATAAAACAACTCAAAAGCAAACTCTAATAAATCTCTTTAACAAAACAAAAATCATAATAACTTTAAAACACTAACAACTTATGTATGACTTTTTATAATACAATTGTATGAAAAATATTACCGTATAACAATTTTTAAAAATTGATTTTTCCGTTTGAAATATATTTTTAAAACACGATTTATAAAAGCTGAATAATGCTTTGAATCTCAATAATAAACGATTCAAAAAGTCAAAATAAAAGCAAATTAATAACAGTCAAAAAGTTATGGTATATAATGTAATATGTTTGAAAATCCATTTGTTTTGAATTGAATTTTGAAAATCTCATAGAAGTTCTTATAGTATGAATGACTAGTCTTTCACAGAATTCATGGCAACAGAATTGTCTTTAGTTTCATATTTGATAATCGGATGATTTTTTCTATCAATCCTTTCATTGCTGTTCCAAATGCCGTACAGAACATAAATGCTTAGCCCTATTGGAAAGGTATGTATAGGTATAGTATAGTACAGCCAACAAAACCAATAATAGTGACAAAAGAATACGTTTTAAAACACAAGAATACGTTAAGGAAAACGATTGAAGAGATTAAATGAACACAAAATCAAATCATAATAGAGTGTAACGAATAGAGGGAGAGAAGTGAGAGATTCAATGAAATATGACTTACCGATGAACATCCAAACCCCGAACCGAATCCATGTCATAGTCGATAGTTTGAGCATTAGGTAGAAGTTTACAAAAACACTAAACAAAATAAATTTATATCATTATTACCGGTACTGTATTACAAAACAAATCAATTAAAAGTTAGTTATTTTATACCTCAAAAATGGCACCCATGGAACCAAAGGTACCTTTATTCAAAAATTACAAATTACGGTATATTTAAATTTTAAACCAAATTCTGTATTTACAAAGAAATACCTGAAATGATATCCTTTTAGCCGAAGATGGCTGTGTCGATAAGGCAATAATGGTAACGATAACCTTCACAAAAACCACAGAACACACGACAATAGAAGTGATATCAGCTTTAGCCAATTTGTCTTCCAATGACACAAACAGTGAGTCCAATACAATCAAAAGGAGACCTAAGATATAGGCAAATCATACAAACATTAGTCTTAAAATAGCCATTAATGAGATAATAATTAATTCATTAAACGGTTGCTTACATGTAATGATAATGAGTGCCACAGAAACTTTGGAAGAGAGCGGTGACGGTGTCGTGAGTTTCTCCAAATTGAAACACTGGCGCAACACATCCTTATAGCTGTAAACCCTATTATCGTTGGAATCATTGGAACTGCCGACAAAGTGATTGGTGTTCATTGAGTTATCAGAACCGGGAGAGGAGGGGAAGGCATGCATCGCATCGGCTTTATATCTAGATAATACGTGGGATTCAATTACTTATTAAAACAATACAATCAAAACGAGTGGAAAACTTTTCTACCAGAAAAACATATCAAACAATTGATGAAAAAATAAAAACAAGAATAAAGCGAACGAAATAATTGGCAAAGAAGTAGAGGATAGCCGACAACTCACTCGTTATCAACACTGTCTTTAAGTGGAGTCACTTCGTGGGCGTCACCGACGAGACGGTCGGAGTCAGACAAACCGATTTTGTTCGCAGAATCACTATATCTGCGGACACAACACATTCAAAAAAAGCTTATTGTCAGACAAAATACGGCGACATATACATCAATACATGTAAAACATTTATGCCAACATTTATGCCAATAATTAAACATTTAGTGAAGTTTACCTCAGTATGAGCACAGATATAGCAACTAAAGTATACGCCAATAAAGTACCTGTAAATGTGTTAAAAAAATATTATTTAATTAAATCAATTTGTGACAATTATATACCAATAGACATCATGTCAGCCAATTCTTTGACGTCAAACATGGCAGCCATACCACCGGCAAACACGCCCGACACGCCGGTAGCCAAGAGGGGTGTCTTGAACTTCGGGTGAACGGTGGCCAAGAATCGGAAGATAACGCCATCGCTGGCCATCGAATACAGAACTCGAGGCAATGGAAACATCGCTCCGAGAAGACTAGTTGATAGACCTGTGAGCGCACCGATAGATATGATCCATTTGGCGACGGGCCAGCCCGCGTGCTCAAACACGTAGGGAAGGGGAGCACCGTTTGTGAGCTCTTCGGTTTGCAGATAGTATGGCATCATTAGGGTCTGGATGGCAGACACTCCGAAATAGGCCAGAAATACCAACAGCAGAGACAACACTATTCCTATAGGAATAGAGCGCTGGGGGTTACGGGCCTCCTCTCCAGTCGTGGCGATCACATCGAAACCAATAAATCCTTTATAGGTATTGACATATACTGTATAATAAGAGTGCGAATCAATAAACAAAACAAATGGTTAGTACCGTAGAAACAAGTGGCAGCGCCGGCCATCATCCCGGAGAACCCAAATGGCATAAAACCCCCGGAGCCGTGACTGCAATACAAATATTGATTGTTTGAAAAGGAGTTTAATTGAAAGCAAAAATAATTCATGTATTAAAAGCAATCAATGCCAACCCTTTGGGCACGTCATCCTCAGGAATAGTCCAGTTCTTAATGTCTGCTTTGAAGGAACCGGCGATGACTATAAACAGAACCACTAATAGATTCAAACCCGTAAAGATTGAGTTAAAACGTGTCGACTCTTTCACACCAATTGATAACATGGCTGAAAATATTTTTAAATTAATTAATTTAAATTAAATAAACACAATATTTTACTATAACTTCATTACCTGTTAATAAGAGTGTTATTCCAAATGCAAGGAAGTCTGGATAAGCGGACAGTCCGGTCACGTCTATAGGCATCCATTCCCTGAAATGGGCCTGAATGGTGCCGTTGACCAGAGCATCGATATAAAGACTATAACCTCTGGCTACTGATGCCGTCCCTAAAGAAACAAATATTATGTCAAATAAAACAGCGATGGATTAAATCGATAATCAAATACCGATAACGTATTCCAAGATAAGATTCCATCCGATGATAAATGCCATTAACTCTCCTATTATTGAAGATATTGAGTTCAAAGTTATCAATAAATTGTGTCAATAAAGTAGACAATCAACGATTATAATCGTACCGACGGTTACGTATGAATATACATAAGCGGAACCGGCTTTTGGGACTCGGGCTCCAAATTCGGCATAACATAGTCCAGCAAACACTGACGCGACGGCAGCTGTTCATTACATTCATAATCATATATTTTAGTCATTATAAAAAGTTTTTTTTAAACATTTCAAAAGATAATGTTTTGTTTATCTTTTGTGTTTCTTGAAAAATAAAAATTTAATCAAAAAATTCCCCAAATTGGAGCCAAAAATGTGATAACATATTTGTGTAATCACATGACTTGATTTATATATGATTTAATCAATATTTGATAAATATTTTAAATAATATTATTATATTAAGTATGAAAACGTAATTCTAAACAAAATGTCTAAATACTAGTCCAGTTGATTCTTAGTCAGTATGGCTTCAATCAAAAATTGGGGAAATCTTTTGGGTATGAGATATAGTGTCAGATAATTGACTGACGACAGAGACATACCGACAAAAAAGCTAAGGGTGACGGCAGGTCCGGCAGTCCTACTGGCCACCTCCCCGGCCAATACGTAGATCCCAAGGCCTAGAGTGCTGCCAACGCCTGATGAATGGCAGAGAAATTAAATTAAATTAAATGTACAATTAATTGGATTATGAAACACAAACCCAAAGCCGTTAAATCAAGTGTCGATAGGCATCGATCGAGTCTGGTTTGGGTTAGGGATGACTGCTCGATGTGTTTGCGCCGCAACAGGGCTTTGATTATGTATGCGAGGGATGGCATCGATAACTTATTATCAGTGATTAATATGCAAAATGTATTGATGTACGCAATCTAGTGATTGCAATAATTTAATATCAAATGCACACTAAAATGTGTGTTGCGATGGCGTTATGGTTATGATATGTCGATCACACGATTCCCAATCCGTTGTACACTTATTAACTTATATGAGTGCGAGATCTGTAACGGAAAAGAGGTAATCATTAGCAAATATTATATGAAAATCAATAGTAATAAGAGTAAATAAAAACATTTTATACTTGAATTATTAGGATAACAAACAAACAAATAAATTAATACTCGATTAATCAATAAATAGATGACTGTTTTATATCAAAAATAAATTTACAAAAATCTTTGGCTAAAGAGATAGTAAAGAATTTTTTTCGACAAAAACTGTGCCATAAGTATGATAATGAATGAAAGAAACAAAATTCACATAAAAATAACAGCGTTTCCTAATAAGAAATAAACTTTTTATATACGGTATAGTGTATAGTGTATATACTCGTAATTAAATAAATAATACATAAATAATATTCTTACAGTTAAATATTAAAATAAACTTAATTATTTGCAAAAAGAGATTTCACGGCAAATACTTTATTCAATTANTCTATATTGCAAATATTTAATTGCATATTCAAAGAATTGCTCGAAAATATATATAAGTTACTAGCTTATATAACAGTAAGGTTAGACAATATTGAATACCCTTAGACATTAATATCCGATTCCTATTGATTACATGAGATTTTAATAATAAATTCACAATTAGATAATGGCCTCTAATATAACATTCATGTGTTGTGTTCATAAACCATTTGAATTGATTTCACAAAACATGATATTTTTGTTTTTGTTTAGTGTATTTGATTTTTAATAACCAATGAATTGGTAAACTGTGTCATAAGTAAGAGCTAATCAGAAATGGTTATCATTTCATTATATCGTACCATATATTGAATGAAACGGTTATTCAATGCATATAAACATTAGGAATAGAGTCAATAAATTCTCATTTGTGTTATGAATGGTTTACGAGAAACTTTGATAACAAATGTGTTTTAAATTCAAAAATATATTCACTATTGTTAGCAAATAATTAACTCATTTTGCGCTCATATATGTTACGCAAACCTAATGGCCTCTAAATTTTAATTAATTAAATTATTAGCATTTTACTCGTAATTTCTATTAGTTTTAATTATAAATTATTGTTATTATGTGTTTCGTAAAGGTCTCGTCGACGGAGTAATTGAATAAAGTATTTGCCGTGAAATCTCTTTTTGCAAATAATTAAGTTTATTTTAATATTTAACTGTAAGAATATTATTTATGTATTATTTATTTAATTACGAGTATACTGTATACAGTGTATACTATACACTATACCGTATATAAAAAGTTTATTTCTTATTAGGAAACGCTGTTATTTTTATGTGAATTTTGTTTCTTTCATTCATTATCATACTTATGGCACAGTTTTTGTCAAAAAAATTATTTACTATCTCTTTAGCCAAAGATTTTTGTAAATTTATTTTTGATATAAAGCAGTCATCTATTTAGTGATTAATCGAGTATTAATTTATTTGTTTGTTTGTTATCCTAATAATTGAAGTATAAAATGTTTTTATTTACTCTTATTACTATTGATTTTAATATAATATTTGCTAATGATTACCTCTTTTCCGTTACAGATCTCTCACTCATATAAGTTAATAAGTGTACAACGGATTGGGAATCGTGTGATCGACATATCATAACATAAAGCCATCGCAACACACATTTTAGTGTGCATTTGATATTAAATTATTGCAATCACTAGATTGCGTACATCAATACATTTTGCATATTAATCACTGATAATAAGTTATCGATGCCATCCCTCGCATACAT